CCCCTCCAGCACAGCCGCTGAGAGGGAAGTGGAGGCCTCCCCACTCCCTCCCAGAGCGCAGGAGGCTTGCACACAGGCTGCCCTTAGCACGCAGCTGCCCCACCCTTCAGGAGAGGTGGGCCCTCCCCCTGGTGGTTTCCGCCGGCAGGCAGCCTTCAGTCTGAGCCCCTCTGTTGCTGATCTGACGTGCAGGCCTGATGGCCAGGAGGGCAGCCTGGCCCAGGAGCTCCGAGGAGAGCTACCTGGCTGGTGTGGGTAGGGAGGTGAGGGAGGACAGGTGACTCCCACATCACTGCTCTCCCCAGCGTGGGGGCTCACAGACACTTGCTTTGCCAGGCCTGGGCGAACACGATTTACTGCCCTCAGCAGTCCTCAGAGCCTGGCACACACCAACATTCTTCTTTGGCACAGGATACTGATGATCAGAGGGGGCAGACGACTCCTTCAAGGTCACATAAGTCGTAAAGGGCGAAGACAACACTCAAACCCCAAACTCCACGGGCACCCGGCCCAGGAAGGGGTGCTATCCTGTGAGCGACACCTGCCCTTCTCAGGGGCCACTTCCCGGGCCCCAAGTGCCCAGGAAGATGCAGAGGTGGCCCCAAGCAGCTCCACCTGCTCCTGCCCATCTCACCCCGCTTTCTGCCAACTGCTCCCAGATGTCACTGTGAATCATGCCCACCACATCCCCTGGCTCCAGGGTCAGTGTGTGCCAACCCTGCCGGCGGGGAATGTCACCCACAGCCTCTGCCGGGCCGGACAGCTGACTGCATGGCCACAACCCCACCCGGGCCCGCCGAGTAAGATGCCCCACCGGGCCTGAGTGACCCCAAGCTACATGCTGCCACACTTGCCTGTCTCACAGAGGAAGGAGCAGGCCAAGGAGGCAGGCTGAAGGGCCACACCCCACACCTGTCCCTTCACCACCAGTCTAGGAAGGGAAGGAGTCTGGCTGAAAGCAGGACTCCCCAGCTTGCTTGGAACTGTCCTGACCCCCTCCCCCCACCACAGGCTGGCCAGCTGCTGCACCTCTGCACGCTAAGGACACCCCACGGTACTGAGCCCCTCAGACAAAGGGCTTTCCAAATGACTCAGTCTCCAACGGCTTGTGGGGGCCAGCATCACTCAGCCTCGCACATCACGGAGCCTCTCCTTGACCTCAGCCCAGCATTACGGGTTCAGCCCCGCCCAGACACATCAGGGGTCTCCTACATCCTGCCGTAAGCATGGAACTTCCAGGAGGCCTGGAAAGGGTGCCCGCCGGCCCCAAGCCTGACCCTTGCAGGGCAAGGCCCGAGGTGACCAGAAGACACCCCGCCTGGGCCGAGCGCAGCCAGGCTGGCCAGTTCTCCCGCTGGCGTCGTCAGGGCGGCCATTGCTCTTCCATTGTTGCCAAGGCAGCAGCAGCCTGAAACCCTGGCTCAACCTGCTCTTTCTCCCCACCCCCATTAGAAACAGGGACACCCCCTCTTTTTCACAGCCTCCTTGGAAAGGTAGCCCCTATCCTCCCTACCAACCCTCTGGCATGGCAGAAGGCGGCCCATGATGCGGAAAGGGAGAGCAAGCTCCCATCACCCCTCTGGCTGCCAGCCCTGGTGGGGGAGCCCCTCACCCACAAGAGGGGTCCCACAGCCAGGAGAGGAGTGACTTAGGCCTTGGGGATCCCACTGCCCACCGGGAATGAAAGGCTGCGTTTAAGTGAAAAGAGACACCATGTGGGGCCATGTGGTGGGTACTGGGCAGTGGGGGGTGGGGTGCCTGGCGCTGAGCGTGATGGTCAGCAGCTCTTCTCTTAGCCACTCACAAGGGCCGGACTCCTAGAGCCGCTCTCAGCCACGCGCCCTTGGGCAGGGTGTGTTCTGCCCACAACAGGACAAGGAACAGAGCGATCCCTCCCCAGGAAGAAGGTAACAAACACACCGGCGGTCCTGAGGGCTGGGAAGGGTGAGCAGGGGGTGGGGGAGCTGCTGCCCTAGATTTCTAACCAGCCACCACCCCTTTCTTTACCACCACACCCTCTAAGACCCAGCTCCGGGCCTCCACCCTGCACCTGGTGCTTAGGGACTCCCAGCGGCGGGGAGGGTGAGGCCCCCAAACCAGAGTGACGTCCGAAAGGCAAGAAGGGCCCAGCGCCACGAGGGCCTCAGCGCCTCTCGGGCTGCCTTTGGATTTCCCACTGGTCTGAGTCACTCATGTGGCTTTTCCCCACCAGCGGTGTAACTGGGCGCCTAGCCGGGCCCAGGCCTCACCCTGAGAACCTGCCCGGCCCCCTCCATAGGCACACACTGGGGGGACAGGCCTATCCCCCCATCAGGCTGGCAGGGGTCCAGGGATCCACCACCAGCTCAGGCTCCCCAGATGGCCCCCAGAGACTGTCTCCTTATACTCCCCTCTTCCCCATCTGCTCAACGACTTCAGCTGTGCCAGGCCATGGGCTTGGGGAAGGAGGAACAAGAGGAAAGGAGGGAGGTTCAGGGCCTATATTGGTATGAGGGATCCCTTGGAGTCCCTCCCTCTCCCCTAGTCGAGCAAGTGCCTTCACAGGGTTACATGAGACCCCGGCCCAGCCCAGCCCATAGAGTCTCCAAACCCTCCAAGCCTTCCTCTTGGGAGGGGGCAGCAGCCAAGATCTGCAGGAACTGTTAGGAGGGGCCGCTGAGGAGCTGGCAACTATCGCCTAAGAACTGGCCAGGGGAGGGGAAATGATGTCAAGGAGGTGGAGGGAGGAAGAACTGAGCTCTGACAGCAGCCAGTGTCCCTCAGCCGCCTGGCCTCCCTCAGACCCCACCCTTGGCCCCGCAGTGGCCGCCTGGGACGTGCTTCTGAGGAAAAGCACAGCCTTGCCTGCCTGTCACCCTGTGTCCAGCAAGGAAGGCTGATGGCAGACAGGCCTCCGGGCAGTCCTACAGAAGGGAGCCGGGGGTGGGCTGAGGCAGGGAGAGGGAAGTGAGATCTAGGGCCCGGACCTCCCAGCTTCTATCTGCTGCCAGGACTTAGGGAGCCCTGACTTGGCTCCGGAATCTGCACATCACCAAACACATGTCTCCAGACTCAGCCTCAGCCGATGGCACCCCGATTCCTTGGAGGAGGCAGAGAGGAGGGAGCTTCCAGACTCCCACCCCACCCCAATTCATCATGAGCAACTCACCCTGAGGCCCCTTCCCGGCCTGACCCCTGAGTGGGTAGGAGTGGATGTTCAGGATAAGGACCGCGTGGGGACTCAGTCCAGGACACATGGGGGTAGAGAAACACAGACACCCCTCTGCATGATCTGACAACCCCGCAGCCAGTAGCCCCGGCACCCCCAAACCCAAGCACCTCAACTGGGTCTCCAGCTCCCAGGAAGTCAAAAAAGCAACCCCTTCCATCTTTGACCCCAAAGGAAGTCAAAAGCAACCCCTTCCATCTTTGACCCCAGGCCGCAGACAGATGCAGCAGACCCAGCAGGGGGCACCGGGAGGGTGGGGGAGAGGGTGCCCGGACCCCCTTGCGAGCTCTGCTCCCAACTTCCTCACAGGACATTTTTCAGACCTTTAGACCCAGGCACGCCGGGGGAAGGGGTGTCTTGGGGAGGACAACTGGGCGATTGCAGAAGAAAGTTTACGGGGAGAGTGCTAAGTCACTGGGAAAGAAGCCACTGTCCCTCCCGCCCAGGGAGGGGCTGTCGTGGGCCCGGGATCTCCAAGCGGCACCTGAGCCCCGAGGGCGGGGACGCGTGCCGAGCCCCTGGCGCCCCCCGCCCCGCGCCCTGTGCGCGGCGGGTCTCACTCACCAGGACCCGGTTGAACCTCTCTTCCAGCTCTCCGGCCGCGGGCATCGGCTGCTTGGGCGCCGCGGGCTGCTTGGGGGACAGCGCAGCGGGGCCCGCGGGCTGCTCCGCGCTGCCGGCCGCGTTGCCCATGGTGGTCCCCACCCAGCCGGTCAGGCGCCTCCAACCTCGGAAATCCAGCTTTCCGGGGCGCCGGGGACGGGGCTCCGGGTCTGGGGGCGAGGCGGGCAGCGCTCGGGCGGCGGGCTGGGCTCAGCGGCGCGCAGGGGCCGGGGCGCGGCGTCCCATCGGGGTGGCCCCGTCAGAGAAGCTGCGGGTGGGGGGAGGAAGTCAGGCTGCAGGCCGCCGGCCTGAGGGCTGGGCGGGGGGCAGGAAGCGGCGGCGCGGGCTCCCCCCGCGGCAATTCTTTAACTTCTCCTGCAGCTCCCCGAGCGCGCAGACCGCGTTTCGCCGGCGCCGCTACGCGCCCGGCCCCAGGGGGGCGGGCTGGAGGG